ACCACAAGAATATAAGACCGTGCTTCTTGCTTACATCTAAAAACAATTTTTTGCTCTAAAACATGTCGTGCGTCTAAGGAACGATCCTTAAACCTACGTAAAATTCATCAAAGAAAATACTTTTATTCATTCTAACCAAAACCTGCTTTCAGGGACATCAAAACAGTACGATCGCGGTGACGGTTGGGGTACAAATGACGACAGATTATCATTGTTTTAACTATGGCTCTAATTCACGACATGAGATAAAGAAAATAACCCTTATAGGACGACTAGAGAGGATGACCTGCGGAATTGAACTTTTGAAATTTTGCCTGTATATGATCTTCATTATAAATAACATGCTTTTCAATAATTAGCGACAATATATGTTGATAATTTCAAAGGGAAATTATAAGATATAATTTACACAGTAGCCGGACTATATTTAAATGTGGATGAAAAGCAAATATCTTTAAAAAATACCGTTAGAAATACACTTCTGTAAAATGTGATTAATATATAAATAACACATGGGTTTATGGGCAACAGTAAAAATATCATCCCGATAAAAATACTGTTACCCGAGGCGTAGCAAATATACGAGGGATGATATTTTTACTGTTACTCACAAACCCATGTGTTATTTATTCTACAATAAATACTGTGATGATCTGAAATTTTCAACTAAATCTAACTGTAACACAAATAAACCAAGAGTAACAATAACTAAACTGTCCTTACCTTTGTAAGTGTACCTTAGGCCTACTTGAGAAATGTTCTTTTTCTTTTATTCTTTAAGCAAGTGATGATATCTACTAGTGATAAACATACAATAACCTGTGTTTTTTTAGAAAACAAAACACTAACCCATTTATACGGTTATGATCTGTGAAATCTGATCATCTGTTCCCAGAAAATTCTTAGCTTCGCATGGTTTTTGACAAAAGAACGATGATATCCTATGTTCGTCCACAATATCTGTAACGTTTCACTGATTAAAATTGTTAAATAATCCTTTGTTACATGCTTAAATCGTCTGCATGTTCCAGTTTGACACATAATAATTTACATTGCAAGTACTTCCGTTGAAAATGGATGTTTACTTTTTGACTATTCAACAAAAATATATTTTATACTGTTAAAAATACTGTTACCTATGTAACAGTACAAAACTCTTAGTCACGTGGTACACTTGCATTAACAGCAAAAATAACTCCCAGAGGGCTATGGGAAGTTAACATTACGAAAAGTGAGGGGTAATAATAAAGAATTGTATATTTGCATATATTATTTTAAGAATGATAAATTAAAATTATGAAATATTACATAATATTTTTTCAATATGAACATTGTTACTTCATGATTAATTTTGATGAAGTCATGAGGAAAGTGTACGTTGCGCGAAAAAAAATAAGTCAAAATGACTTAAACCACCAAAACACCAGCTGTTATGTTATGTTATATTTAGCCAACTGTGAAAACGTTCACTCTGTAAAATATTTTTGAATTATCAACTGAATAGCATGGTGAGCGACTCTTTAATTTTCCTTTTTTTAATCAGTTTAGGTTTTTTATCGTAAGATTATTTCCTCAACAAAATAACTTGGTAATACACGTTTAAAATAAAAAAAAGGATTTATAGCTTTCGGTTTTAACAAATGCAAAGCTGAATTGAAAAAAAAAACAAAAACAAAAAACATTTTTTTTTCTGTGGTAAGAGATTTTTTTTATTGAAATGACATATATTGAAAGGAATTCTATGAGGGTGTCACGAAAAGGACCATCGTCATAGTTTATTTTAATGTTTGAAATGAAATTATGCTTTTCGTTAATTGTACAGCAATGTCAGAAATTCTTTTTAAAAATAAAATAATAAACTTGAAAATGTAACAACTGATATCTCAACAAAAGTCTGACATTTTGCATTAAACCGAGTGTCCATATATGATATGTCAGATGGCTGATATTTTGCCGCTATTTTTCAGTCCAATCCGATTTAGCGTAACTTTTAAAAGCGTTCATACCTTTAAAGTCTTCCTTCATGTTTTGTTTGTTTAAGTACGGTAAAGAGATAGCAATTTTGAGTGTATTGTTGTACAATTCACAATGTACGGTTCGAGTTCAATTGCGTATTGATATAAACAGATTAAGTACAAAACATTTAAACACGATAAACCGTGCATAATAATACTTTAATGCTAAAAGTCGAGGATATAAAATGCGTTTAGATACAATAATGGCTTTATTGAACGAGTTATATAAAGTTATATTATGCGAGTCTCTGGCGAGTATAATATTTTTTTCAACGAGTTCTAAACATTAACTTTTAAAGTAAAAAATCTACACGACTATAATATAATTTTCATAACAGACCTGAATGAACTGTTTTACAGTGAAAATAATCATTTTTGTCACTGACGGGCCTATAGTTTAACGCTATTATTTAGTGCGTCTTTATATAATGTTTCATTCTCCGACGCAGTGGTCTCCCCTTATCAGTACAGAGATCTCTGCCATCATCAATATTTTGATATTTAATATTTTTTAGCTTCTTAATTTATTCTTCATTATTTTGTATTCTAACACGACCCGCATTTTTCCCTATTGAACATAGAAGAGAAAGTGTGTGTTATTTAAGAAATAATATATCCCAAACTGTGATTTTATCGCTCAATAACATCACTGTTTGGTGTTCGGATGCAAGGAATTATATCACGAGGGCGTAGCCCGAGTGATATAATGATGCGCATCCGAACGACAAACAGTGATGTTATCCAGCGATAAAATCACCGATTTGGATATATTATTTCGATTCGAACACGACTTTAACAAATAAATGCTGCCGTACCTGCTATTAAGCAGAATTGCGCCTGATTTGTTTCCGTACTTATTGTCAGCGCGTCGGATTTTATAGTGGTTACGTCACATGTATAATGATTACGTCACATGTCTAAATATAGAACGTCAAACAGTGACTCTATTGCATAATAACACACACTTTCGGTTCTTCTATGTTCAATAGGGAAAAATGCGGGTCGTATTAGAATATGCAACAGATGCAGTTTGACGTTCTATATTTAGACATGTGACGTAATCATTATACACGCGACGTAACCACTAAAAATCCGACGTGCTGAAAATAAGTACGGAAACAAATCAGGTGCAATTTTGCAAAACTGTCAAGTACGGCAACATTTATTTGTTGATGTCGTGTTAGACTCGAAATAATATATCCAATTCAGTGATTTTATCGCTTCATAACATCACTGTTTGTCGTTCGGATGCGCATCATTATATCACTCGGGCTACCCCCTCGTGATATAACTCCTCGCATCAGAACTCTAAACAGTGATGTTATTGAGCGATAAAATCATTGTTTGGGATATATTATTTCTTAATTCTTTTGATAATTTTTTGATGAAATAAATTGGACGTAGGTACAAAAAGTTAAAAATAAAACAGAAAGAGAAAAATGACGTTAGATTTTCTATATAGTCGATATTTAAATTTGAATTTCGACGTTACGTCATGTGACTTTCATCATCATGTGACGTCTGTGAAGGCAGTGATTGCAATTCTGCCAAGAGAGATAATCACTGTGAGGAGTTTGATAATGTTTATATACTGTTTGTATACTGCATATGACGTCCAGGTAAACTATATGCAACGGTATTAGATAAAAATTAATATCCATTCCACATGTTTATAAAAAGAAGCATTGATAATATATATAATATGTTGAACTACACTGATTTTCCTGACGTCATTTGGTTTATTGACCATAATATGACATGTAAGCATTCTTTTTTTAGCCGTGCATATATCGTGTAATATTCATTTAATTGCCCTATCTGTTTGAAAGAGAAGAATAATGTGAAGCGTGTTAATTTGTTTATTCTACCATAGAAATGTTTTTTAATCGCAGTAGTTTGTTTATAAGTTTAATTTTACGTATTTTACATGTCTATGATATTACGTAAAACTCCAGCAATTATGATGCATAAATTATACCATGAATAGTAAGACAACTTACATTTGGGTTAAAAGTTACTGCTTGTTGCAATTATTTCTTAAATCCATTGGAATTTGTATATCATGTTACAATAATTTGCTTATATTGTCATTACAAAAGCTATACAGAATAAAAATCATGTAATATTTTATGTTAATAAATGTACTGTTAATTATAATTTAATTTCAAACAATGTATAAAGTTTAAGTTATTATAAGTAAATAAGTAAATCATATTAATCAAACTTAGCCAGATATAAAAAACCAACACTATTCTAGTAAAATATATCACAGGCTTGTAAAACAATTTAAAAGACTTTTTATTTCAAAGCAGGCATATGAAAAGAAGATTCACGTGGACTCCATAAGCTGTCAATTTTATTTTTGAACCTATGAATTCAGAAGTAAAATTCAGAGGGAAATGGTAACACTGCACTTAAACAAACAAACAAACATAAATACGATCAACCTACTTCACTACACTGGTACAACAACAAATGCTAGTGTTATTAGAGAGGTATATGTATTAAGATACTCCAAAAAACTTTACTTTGTACCCTTTTCACAATAATAATATGGAAGTAACGGGCAGGTAGGTTTCCTTTGTTTTATATTTTTCATTGTACATGTATGTCCTTTGTTTTCCATTATTTATTTATGTCATTTGTTTCACATTATAAAATTTATCTTCTGTAGATCATTATACATTTATGCCTATTTTTTACATTATACATGTATGTCCTTTGTATAACATTATACATTCATGCCCTTTGGTTTACTTTATACATGTATGTCTTTTGTTTTACATTAAACATTTATGCCCTTTGTTTTACATTAAATGTGTATGTCTTTTGATTTACGTTGTACATTTATGCCTTTTTTATATTTAACATGCATTTATATTTTATTAAGTTTCATAAAACAAAATTTGCTCTCCTTTTCTTTCATAGCCACAAAATGTTTTTCTGTACTGATCAGGGGAAATAATAACCGTTGCGAAAAGTGCAATGTATGAGCAACAGTTACTTCCCCTGAGCAGTACAAGAAAGTGAGTAGCAAGGTGCGAGGGGGTCGGTGTAGCAAACGGTCAATATTTATAAACCGAAAGGCGTTTACTTTATACATGCATTTAGGGTGAAATAGAAATGTAGGATTAGAAAACAAGTCATAAATTAATATCATCTGCAAGTCGGCTTTCGCATGCATGTTGTGGACATAACAGATTGGCTCTCAAACTGCCATTTAGAGCACGTTCATAGTTATTGAAAACATCAACAAGGGACCTTAAGGATCAATTGAAGCTACTTCCGTTTAATATACCTGTGCAAGGTAAGAGAATTAAATTTATTAATAATTACTGTATGGTTTATTTACTGCAATGTTGTACCTTGTGTTATCGACAAGATGCATTGAACAAATCAACAATAAGATCTATGAAAAAGGTAATTTTCTTAACAAAATGTAATCTTAACGAGACAATGGGGACATATTTAATAATAGCAATCATGTACACTTCACTGATAACAAAAGCTATTATGCACATAATAGCGAATTTCTTGTGATAAGGAACAATTTGTGTCGGCACATATTTTGTCTTATTTTAAAATTTAAACAGTGTCATAGCAAACACTGCCTATAGGAACTCATATCGACAATCTCCTGGATTAGACCCTTATGTATATTTTAGAAGTAGGTGTACATAATACACTCAAGAAAACGGAATGAACCTTATACTCTTGGTTTAGACTCGGGGTCTATTCCAGGATATAGCCCTCGTAATAGTCCTAATTGATGAAAATAGCATGTTTACAACGAACTCCAAAAAATGAAAACCAATTCATAGAAGCTGTATTTTCTGTAATTGGTTTCATTGGCATGCATAAAAATTGATTGAATGAATTTGCCTCTTTTTCATTAAGAACTTGGCAATGTATAAATATAGTTTTCGTTAAACAACTAGCCTATTATGCACTATTTCATTGATTTTTGCACCTTTAAATCAATCCTGTAACAATGATAACGTTCAGTTCATGATAACAAAACCTTGTTTAAAACTATATTTACTGGCTTGTCACACTAAATTTTATGTCATTTTTGTTGCGATATCTTTAGTGTTAAAACGGTAGAAAAAATTTAAATTCAATAGTGTTAGCCATAAAACTCTTTAAAATAACATTTTCACTACTATTAATTAATATGTTAATCTTTCACCAGATTAACCGGATTCTCATTCGAATAACATATGTATCGTGAAGTTATACAAATAAATTTAAAATTAAATAATTCATTTGCTAATATCGTCTATGAATTTTTACAACCTTGCCTTTATCAAATACCTCATAACATACATCAAAACAGTCAATACATATATTATCGACCAAAGTACAAAACATAAAAATTAGAATGCTTGATATTCAATATATTTCATATTGTTATTGAAACATAAACAATCTGTTGAAATTGATATGTATTATTGAACCTTAAATTATGTACTTAACACATGTACATGTAATTCTCTGGAAAAAGGTCAATAAAATATGTACGATGATAAGATACACGAAGTTGTTAATATTATATCATTTAAATTTTATAATTTATATTTCTTAGATATCGCCAGACACTTTGCTGAGAATGATGACTATATGTTTCTCACTTGTGAATTAAAGACAGTAACACGCCTCAAAAACGTTCATTTAATGATGAGAGCGGAAAAGACCTATGATAAAAATAAAAGAAATTTTGACGCCAACATATTCACTTATTACATATATTCACTTATCACATACAGTGTCTTCTTTATTTTATACAGAAATGGGCGTCTCTAGTTCAAAAAGTTCTGGAAGCAGCTCAGGTAAAAATGCAGGAGAATGGACATATAAAGTATACTTTGATCACGAAGCTGACCAAAGATCTGGACAAAGTTATACAATTTCAGAAGAGGAGTTGATGGAAAAACTGCCAAACCTTGTCGATGCCGACGAACATATAATTAATATACGGGCATATAAGCAAAATCTGTATTCATGGCAATTAACTAATTTCATTTTATACCACATTTATATAGTATTCAAAACGAAAGATTGGTGGTGGTCTATTGAAAAGAACTCCGAAGGCATCACTATTCAACGAAGTAAACATCGCTGGGCTGTTCGTCAAAATTACAGACGCAAAGCAAGGTATGAACGTACTCTTATAAATGAGGATAAAGGAAAGAAGACAATGAAAGAACAAATAGAATGGCTTTACGAAGAAAATGAACTTAACAAAAAGTATGGTTTTATCTCCAGCAACTGTAAACATTTTGCGAAAGCTGTCTTTGACCATGTGGCCGCAACAGAATGTTTGTAGTATGGCGCATCTTTTTGTCTACATTGCTTAGTTATCTTATTTCGATATTTACAGTCATATAAGGAATCGAAAATAGGATATAAATTGATTATTACATGTATGTTTGACGACAAGTTATGATTACTTACAGACCTGGATAGCTCGCATAATTAGAAACATCATCTGTATAAAAAAAATCATAGACCATATGGATTGACATCGCAGAAAATATGGGGAAAAGTTAATCCGCGTCACCTTTAACATATTTTGTTTTAATTATATACTTTTCAATGCAAGTGACGTTTGAAAAATGGCCAAGAGCAGCAATCTTTAATATTAAAATTCTATTGATGATCATTTTAATTCTTTCTAATGTCAGTGAAACTTTCTTGTGTAATATAAGGAACATTTTAGCTATACAAACTGATCTTGTGAATCGGATTGTACAGAGAACATTCAAAGTCTGATGAAAAAAGTATAGTTTAGTCAAAATGTACTGTCGTAATTCCAATGAATTTGACGACTGCCAAGTTATTTATTTACTAAAATGATTGGTGCAAAAAGCGGGGAAGACCCTTACAATTATTTTAGAAAGAATTCTAGAGAGGGAAGAAGTAAAGAGATAAAATATATTACGGATGATTTTGTTAAGTGTATTATCGCCCATGTCTAAGCTCTATTTTTTCAGCATTGGATATTCAACACTTAATTATTGAAATAAATTATCCCCAAGGTCAAATACGAATATTTCAAAACTGATATTTAAGAAAAAAAGCAGATAGAAGAACATCAGCATAATGTGCAGTGAGGTAACACGGCAGATTACATAATATAATCAAGACAAAATGAAAAATGCTTGAAAGGTATAATTAAGCAAATATTTTTCTAATCATTTTTGTTTACCATTTAGTATATCTGGTCGTGCATATTGGATACATTTCAAATAATTTAACCTTACTTTCATTAAGTCAATAAAACAAGATGAGTATGTTCATTCTTTCATATTTATAATTATTAATTCAGTACCTAATAGCTCGGGTTAAGCACTCAACCAAAATCTCGATATACCTTTTCACTGCCAAGTTATAACTTCCTACTTATGTTGGATGAGGTAATTACATGTCTATGTATATCAATTTACATCTTCCCCTATTATTCGAATGTATAATAATACCATCAATGTTACAATTTCATTTTAATATTAGTTTTACTTAATTACTTTCTTATGCAATTATTTTATAATTTTCTTATGTCATCATAAAATGTATTACTATTCATCTTTTACCATTCAGTCTGCAAGAAATAAAGTTGTGTTTAAATTGAAATGGGAATTTGGATTTTTATATTGATTTTCAGTTTCCCTACCTCTTCCAAAAGCGCGTTATTATACATATGTTGATAATGTTTAAAAGAAATTTAAAAAAGAATTCTGAAATTATTACTATTCAACGTAGCAAAGTTAGGGATGCCGGCTTGACCAAGAATCAATGAAAATCAAGACATGCTCTAACCGATACAGGAAATAGAAATGTGAAGGATTTAATGTATATCTGTATCATAGCAAGGTACTGAACAAAGTAAACAATGTTTTGTCAACATTTTGCAACTGCCGTATTTGATTATGTGGCTACGAGCGAAAAGTTATGAAACTAAAGCTTCTTCACAGATGTTGTGTATCAAGCAGGATATTTATTAGTATCATATACCTTATTACCTTATACGAACAGCATTGTCTATCTGGCATGTGTGTACATATTATTTTTATTTTTTTTAAAGATGAGATAAATCGCCTTGTGAGAGCCAAAGGTTGCGATTTATAACGGGTTTTATGATGTTTATTGAAAAATCACATTTTTATGTTTTATTCAAAAGAAGTTATACATTTTGTAAATAAAAAATTTCATACATTCGTCGAAAATGTTCATTTCAGCCGCGTATTTGAGATGTATGCTTAAAATAAGCGTTTCTCAGTAATACAGGATTAACAATTAATTTTGTTTTGTGGCACTTTAAAGGCTTTCTCGAAATGTTAAAGGTTGTAGTAGAAGAAAGAACCATTTGGCAGCTTTTATCCTCAAATTGTTCACCAAATTGTAAAACTTTCATTGTAAAATTATAGGATATGGGATAAAGCACCTTTTTTCAAAGAACTTTAGATTCCCCGCTTTTAAAATGTGCCCGATTGTATCTTTTTAAATTATTATACAGTAAGATATTGTCATCATATCATATGTATTTCCATATTAAAATGTACCATATGTACCATTAAACGCATGTTTGACCTTTCTAAAGAAGTAAATATTTATTTTTTTCTGTTTGAGTGAATTATGTGACAATTTTCACAAAACATAGGTTTAGGAAAATAAATGGAATGTTATAGTTATATTTGGTGAAAATATATTCAATTTTCACAAAATGTTCCTTTTATTAAATTTTACAATAAAAATGTAACAAAATAATTATGTGAAATGAAAACCTTACATGCTACGCAGCTGCAACTATACAGCGCGCCGTAATGTATTGATTATTGTAGGTGAGTGAATATTTTGCGCAGTCTTTAACTGTCTTGAAAAAAACATAACCAGATTCATTTTCATAATTATTTTGTGATAATGAAATAATTCATAGCTGAAACTACTGACTGCTGTCACAGAAACATATCTAACAAATAAGAGTTTTGACTCTTTATACATGTACTATCATAATTACATTTCATATTTGTTTTAACAAATATGAAAATGAATATTTTTGACTGATATTGAACCATTCTCAATTGGTCAGATTAAATAAGTCAATTTTGATGTCAGCTGTAAATATATTCTCAATCATAGCAGTAATAGAAATTCTACTAGCAACCTCACAGGATATTGTATACCATATTTTACCCACGTTCCCTAGCACCGGCTTAAGCAGAATTCAACATTTAACATGAACTCGTAAAATTTAGAATTTTGAAACATCCGCAGATGTGTCCATATGGCGGTTATCATGGAACCTTCAATGTGACACGTTTGTGCCATTCCATGAAAAGCGGCATATGGTCCCAAAGTAAAAAATGTATGTGCCCTAAACAAGAAAACAATGGGCGGAACTAAATAAAATGGAATTTATAAAGGGGATCTGAGATTATGAAGCCTGCATATCACAGTTATGGCGTCCAAAGACAAATTTAAAAAGCAAGCCACATACTAGTACCCTAAGGGTGATTCAACAGTTATCAAGTAAGGAATACTGGAACCACCCAACAAGAAAAATGCCGAATAGAAAGAACTAAAATAACACAAGCACAACAATTATGTCGTGCTGAACGATCTTTAAGGATCGGACATATAACATCCCTGATTGAATGTACGGGGCGACATTTTACGGCCTCCACACGGCACAAACAACGCTGACATATGAAGAAAAGGGGATTTATGTGCATGAGCTGTCGGTTTCGATTTTAATCGATAAAATACAAAGTCAATGTTTGTGCTCGTAGATAACACTTTACTCAAACAAATATTTATCTTGTCTTTTATTTATCTTATCGACTTCTTCAAAAAATGTAATGATTTTACCAGTTAAATGTTCAGAAGACAAATACAAATATATCAAAAGGCTTTACTAAGTGGCCCATTAAATAATTTTAAGGAACTAACGGTAAGTTACTGTTTTCCTTTTGTGTTATATTAGATGCGAATCTTATTAGTATTATTAATTTGAAAAATTTCTACTTTACTTTCTTTTCCACACAATGGTTTCTGTGATGAAGCAAGTTATAAGTATATAATATTTCTATCAAAACAAAAAGTAGAAGAATAATGCAATATATATAATAAGAAACAATATATTAACAATCAATTTCAAACCGACGTATTTAGGACAAGGTTATCAAGAAGCGATTTACTTTTTGAAATGTATCGGGTAGCAATATCTTAAAAGGTACATTATAAAAGATTGATTTGTTTATACAATTAATACTAAATGTGTCTTGTAACGAATGAAACAATAGCATTTGAAACAATTTTGAATATTTTAACAATTTTACAACAGTTTATAAAAGCCAAACGTGTAGCACAATTTTAAAGGTTTTAAATGCCAAGTAATATTTGATCAACTCAATTTTAAACACGATTTCGCAATGTTTTATGGTTTCACAGCACGATAAATGGTTATATTTATCTCTACGGAAGACCGCGCTCAAATCTATTAGCTTGAATTCTAGTAATAAAATGTGGAAATAATAAGAACCAGAATTTGATAAATTGTTGGCCAAATTATAATACGGAATACAAATGACAGTGGGGGTTGTATAAGTACGTATGAATAAATAAATATGAACAAAGAAATATCTGTTGCGATAACAAAGTTCACAAAAGTATCATTCAACTAAGGTAGAATTGATCAACATTTATTGTTCTAAAATATTTGTTAGATTATATATTTTATATCAGATGGTTTGTCTTTTCAAGGCTTAAAAGTTCGCTCTCAAGCATCGGCTTAAGCGGTACTGAATCCTAAAAGCTATAAGTATTGGAATCAATCACGATTTCTCTCACAGTTACTTTGTTGGACATCGAAACGATTAAAACTTCTTAACGCAATTGCTCAGAGCAAATAAAATACTTGTTCAATAAGATCAGAGTTGCTTAATAAAAACAAATTGAAATTTCAAAAAAGGTATTATCATGTTTTTAATTTAATTGATGGTAATTTGAATTCTTTCGAATGTCATTGACACTTGCATGTATAAGTAATTGTTTAGCTATAAAATTTTTATTTACGAAATATAGATTGAAAGGCAGAACATTTGCTTTGATGCAATATAAAAAGTTTGGCTCTAAATGCATTAACAATACGGTCCAAGTAATATTTCTAGTGCTCATAAATCTTCTTCAAAGACAAATATAAACATCAGTAGAAATGAAATGTGTTATATGTCGGCAAGTTATCGTAAATTTTTACACAAACGATACTTTCTAAAAAGAATCGATCTTTCATGGGGAAAATTAAAAAGACTTATGATAAAAATAAAAGAAATTTAAACGACGTTTGACAAAATATTTTCTAATAACGTACAATGTTTTTTCTTATTTTATACAGGAATGGGCGTCTCTAGTTCAAAGTGTTCTGGAAGTGATTCAGCTAAAAAGGGAGGGGAATGGACATATAAAGTATACTTTGATCCCGAAGCTGACAAAAGCACCGGGAGAAATTATACAATTACAGATTCTTAGTTGATGGACAAACTGACACACCTTGTTTATGTCGACGAAAATATAATTAACTTAAGTGCATATAAGCAAGATCTACATTCATGGCAAATAACAAATTTCATTTTCTACCACATTTTTTATAAAATTCGAAACGCATGATTGGTGGTGGTCGATTGAAAAGAATTCCGAATGCATTACTATTCAACGAAGTAAACACCGTTGGGCTCTTTCTAGTAAATACAGACGCGAATCCAGGAATTACCATACTCTTATGAAGGAAGACAAAGGAAGGAAGACAATGAAAGAACTAATAGAATGGCTGTACAAAGAAAATGTACTAAACAAAGAGTATGATTACATCTCTAGCAACTGTTAACATTTTGCGAAAGCCGTCTTTGACGATGTAGCCGCAACAAAATATTTGTAAATTTACCTTGCATTATGCATTGATTTTGAAACAAATAATATCTTCATATCTCTAAACCCATTACATGATATACACGCCTTTTAACGCCTTTTTCATCCGCCCCCCTTTGTTGTCTCAAATAGTGAAGAAATGCCTTATTTAGGCCTTCGAAACTTGTTTTTGTTTGAGAAATGTTGTTTAAAAAAGTGACCACTTTTTCGGCGCGGCCCCCAACCAAAAGATACATCAGGGGGTTGCCAGAAGGGGGATGTGCCCTCTTCTGTTTGGGGGTTTGAAGGGGGCGGCAGTCCCCCTCATCGCCAAGAAAATTTTGGACTTGTGAGAGGCTAAAAATGACCCCAGATCGATCATAAGGTAACGTGTAACCAACGCTGAAAAGCATTTGACTCTATCTCAATCCATTGAGAAGTTGCAGCACTTTGAAATCAGTTTTGATGGAAAAAATCAACGCATAATAGTGATTTTTGACAATTTTGAGATGTCCCCTCGTTGCCATGGTAACAGGAAATTAAAGTATGTGCATGTTGTTGCGAAGACAATGGTCCAGTCAACATGTTTGCCAAGTTTGATTTTAGATAAAGCGTCCTGAACAGATAGTATCAGTAACAAAAATTTTAACAAGAGGCCGCACAAGAACTTTCTGACCGATCTTTTAAACACCTCTTTATCATCTTGTGAAGTACCATCCTTTTGGAAGG